AATATTGAGGAAGTTCTGAATTGCTAGCGGACCATCTTTCAGGTGTGCTAAACTAAGCCCCCATCTATCTTGTCACATGGATGTAATTGGTTTCACAGCATTTTTAGGACCATAGCAGGGGAGACCTACTGGTTATTGGACTAGCATTCATCTCTTAACCAACATAACTTAAAACAAATCATGAGTTTGTTTCACATTAAATTCGCTCAGCGCAGTTTTTCTACAGCCTTTCCAAAACACATAACACTTAAAAATCTTTTCATTGACTGCAAAGTGTTTTGGAACATTGTAAGGCTTTAAAAGATGCTATCTAAATGCAGAACATATTTCTTTTCTTTTTAGCTTTACACTGGAATTCCTAAACATGGTGATAAATTGCCATTCATGTCTGAATGAGCAAGAACAAATGCTATCAGTAAGTTAAACAAAACAATCCAAGAAGCTTTTATAGTTTCACATTTCTTTAAAGTGATCATTCATATCTGTAATGCACTGCATTGAATGACATTAAGATTGACAACAGCCAAGTCACAGAAATGAATTGGACAGAGTCCCAGTTCATTCTTCTTTGTCTCTTAAAGGAATATAGCTTATAAATTGAATTAAAGTTTAATCTAGAGGAAAGTTCTGATGATGAGTCGCTGGACTCAAAATGCTAACTCTATTTTTTCTCGACAGTTATTGCCAGATTTGCTGAGTTACTCCAGCACATTCTGTTTTGTTGATTAAAATGTCTTTGGTTATGTCATTTATTGGACTACAGCTAATGTTAGGCGGTTTGATTATGACTGAATCACAGAATTATTACAGTGCGAAAGGAGGCCATTTGGCCCATTGGGCCTGAACTGGCTCTATTATCTAGTACCGATCCTCTTGGACTTTTTAAGAAATAGGTGCTCAAAAGATGTTGGCATTTCATCCTTAAAATATCTCAAAGTTTGTAACACAATGAAATGCTTTATCAGAATGTGGTTGTTGTGAAGGGACACTTAACCAAGCGTTTTTCATCAGTCACATGATCAATTGGCAGATAGTCTGTTGTTTTTGTTGATATTGATTGAAGGAACATTGTTGAATGTTCTCCTATAGACCCATTGGACGTTTAACTGACCACTCGGGCCTCAGCACCAAAACACATGAGATGGAGCAAACTGCAATCAGCTCACAAAACATCATGTCCTTTAGGAGTAGCAAGGTGTGGAGCTGGAGGAACACAGCAGGCCAGGCAGCATCAGAGGGTCGGAAGCCTACTTCAGAAGTTCTTTCAAAGAGCTGGCAAGAGGCACCAGGGGTGAATAAATTACAATACAATACAATATCCTTTTATTGTCATGTGTACTCCACTGTAGGAATACAGTGAGAAACCTTTACAATATCTGCCTTCTTAGGTACTTGTACCTAGGTACAATTCCTGGATACAGCAGAGGAATAGAAGTAGTTGCTTAAGTACAGTGTTGAAAATAAGTTAAATGTAGGAAAATATTAAGGGGTTACCATTACAGAGTTCTAAGGTAAGGATTGTCCCTTCACATCGGTCTCTGTCCAGGACTCGCTGCCTGCACACTGCTACGGGGGCTCACAGCCCACTCACTGCTCTGGGCTCACAGCCCACTCACTGCTCCGGGCTCACAGCCCCCGTGCTGCTCCAGGCTCACAGCCCACTCACTGC